TTGGGGCTACCCTTATACTTCTACCCTTCCTCTGAAAGCATTTCTTTTTCTGACTTTGAACTTTCCAGAACAACATCGCGTCGGTAGCCTTTCGCATATACGAACCTCCTCCTGACCAATCGCATGGCTTTCAATCATCCGCTCTCGAGATCCAAAGTTCCCTTCGCGACCAAGGAAAACTTGTTTCGTACGACGCCGACCGAGTAGGAATATGGATCTTCCAAATCGTCAGCAAGGACGGGGCGAGCAATCTCGTCAATTCTGCCCCAGGATCTAGCCTGGAAGCTTCAGGCTACATATTAGGGATGGTCGAGGAGGGCACCCTTGAACCAGTAGCTTTGCAGAAGAGCCGCATCCCGGGAAACACCACGCAGAATGCCCCGAACAACGCAGCGCCAACCTCATCTCCGGCCGAGGCAAATGGCCGTAACGCTTTGATTTCACCAACTCAGGTCGCTGGAGGGGCTTTACCAGACGGAGGCTCTCAATCCTCAGCTCAGACTACCGACATGAGGACGCCGCGGATAGTGCCAAAGATTATCTACGAACAGTTCATGGTCGCGGTCATTTCCTCGATAGCGTTTGCTTTCTGTAGTCGGTCTATGGCCATACCGCTGAACTACAGGACAATGTTGATTCCACCTTTGCAAGCCGATGCGAATGAACGGGAAAGGAGCTCATTGCAAGCCGATCCCGTCGTTGGCACATTCAAGACATATCTCACTACTACGGGCTCTCTTATTGTCAGTCTCACTTTCTCCTACTGTAAGAACTTGGCGACGGTGGAGGATGTTCTCACAGGCGATTCCTCTTCCCCAAGTAGCTCAGTGCTGGCTGCGCCTTATGGAGTTTTCGCAACAAAACAGAACTTTACCAACGGGGATGGTTCGGATCGAAGCCTGGCACAGACACCCAATACGCAAGCTCTGAGCGTGAGAAGTGTTCCAGATACAAATGATTCGCAATGGAAGCACTCATGCCTCAAAGCACTCGAATACTGTGGGCTCAACCCATCTCAATTCAAGTCGAGCCCCTGGGTCAACCTTCTTATTTCCAAGCCGACTTCGCAAGATGCAGATGGGGAACCTAAGCGATCACGGGCAACAGTTCCCTGGCCAGGATCGCTCTGCTTTCGAAAGAAGCCACTGGAAATATCAACTACTCACCGTGTTGGCGACACCATGCTCAGTGGCCACGAGGAATGCCACGATCCCTTGGGAGATGCTCGTGGATGGTTCGCCGGTGCGTCTGAAAGGGAAGAGAGAATCACCAAACGCAGAGCTGAGCGAATGTATGCCATCCCTAAAGAAGTTAATGGTGCGAACCCCCTAGCTCAAAATCTCAATGGGCAGTCTCCTTTGACCATGAGACGACCTAGCACCGCTGCGGCTGGTGTCATGTATCCAACACCCCCCGACGCAATTCAACAACACATCGGCATTACCCCTTCCTTGGATGGAGCGATCTCAAGTCCTAACAACCCGCCCCCAACCCTTGCAGTTGTTGATGCTGATATCACAGTGCCAACAGCGACACCGATGCCTGATGCTGAGAATGACACCTGGGGAGGCCATCACGAACAAAAGAGAGAACGAAGCGACAGCAACGCTATGGGCGATTCTGACGATGTAATGAACGACTTGGGTGAGGATGTGTTCGGGGACCACGATGTAACAGAGGATGACTTTAATTTCTTTGACGGCCCTGACGGCAACGATCTGGACATGGACATGCCAGATTTGCAGACAGCTCCTACTGCACCGGCGCCCCAGGTAATGCCTCCGCCGGTGTTATCACATGCACACACGCACCCGCATCCGCATCCACATCCACAGCCACACAAAGTTATAGAGCCGCAACCTGAAGTCAAACCAAGGCCAAAGACTAATGACTCTGTCTTTGCTAAGCCAGAACTGAAGCATGCCAGGAGCTCGCTCAATGAAGATCTTAATCACAGAATCAAAGTTGAGCGACCAGATACTGCCAAGCGAGGGTCTAGTCCATTTGACCCTGCTACCGTGTTCAAGCGAGTACGGGCTTCATTGTCCAGCCCTACCAAGGATGATTTTGCTGTCCAGCCACCTCGGAGAAAGAGTAGTGTCTTTGAAAAGGTTGTGTTTGATCCTAAGATCCCTCTGATTAACAAAAAGTATGAACATGGTGGTGCATTCGACTTTTCAAAGGACCAGAGTAATGGAGATTCGAGGCCGAGTGCCCATAATCTTTCTCGGGATGAGTATCTCGAAGGGCAAGGAAAGCTGAAGCAGACATCCAAATCACTTCTTGGGAACTCCCTCATCAGAAGTTTGACTGTTATTGACGCATCTACTGCCCATGCAAGCCCCCAGAGACTGAACGGGCACGATTGGATCTCTGAGGAGAGTGATCTCGAGTCAGACGGAGATGAAATAAGTTCGCTTTCTGGTGGTCCAGTTTCTCCCGTCAAGTCCAGTATTAAACGAACCGTCGTGGACGATGATGCTCTTTCACAAGCTACAACTTCCAGAGAGACAGAACTACTAGATGATTTCACTGATGAGCAACTTGCGATCGAGCTCCCAAAACTGTCCAAAACAGAATCGCCAGAAATGCTACTACACCGTTTCTTTTTGGACCCAGAGCCACTTAACGTGGACGTAGGCCTTTCCAACCACGACTTTGTTGAGATTGCGCAAATCATCACCGAACAGGCTGCTACCGGGCGACTTGAAATCGGCATCGAGCATAAGGCTGAGTCTTCTGTCTCCCTTGCGACTATGAGGAGCCATGAGCTCAATATCGCTCGGAACTCCTTACAACTTCTTCGCGATGTCATGCCCTCGAATTTGGGTACCCCCACGGCTGTGCGGTTGAAAGCGCTGCTGGAAATCCAAGACCTCCCCCTTGTAGGACAACCGAGCCGTCTCCAGCCCAGACCGATTCCGGGCAGAGACCCCAACGCTGAGCAATTGCGCGCAAACAATCTATACCAGATTCCTGTACCTCATCTGGAAGTACGCAGATCAGAAACAAAACTCTCAGTACTTCCATCATCAATGTCTTTCTGGGAAGGTCTTGGGCTGTCACCTTCGTGGGGGACAAAGGACATCTCCGCTCTCTGTATCTTTCCGGGCTGGAAGGGGATGTCAGACCATGCTGAAAGTTTCCTCGGCCGCTTAAAGAGTGTATATGAATCGTTGAAGCTTGGCACTCTCAACAACCTGCCGTTGTCTGGAGACTGGGACGATGGCGTCTTGCCATATGAGGTTGATAGGATCTCGACTTCACCTGACGCAACCGTAACTGGTCATGGCTCTGCTCTTGTGGAAAGCATGGAAGTGCTCCGAAGCTCTCTGTCAGAGTTGAAGTCCAAAGACAAGAATCTGGTCATTTACTTTGTTTACTCGCCAGATAACCCGGCTTCCATCATCGAGGCTTGCACGGCTTTTTACCGTTGCTTTGATGAGTACAGCGACCTTCTAGCAGCTCGTCGAGAATCTCCGCAGAATGAGCTAGTGTTGCAACTTGTTTCATTGGATATGATCTCTTCCACGACATCGCTAGCCATCCCGACTCCCGCGGAAATGATCAAGCTCTGCATAGAGACATATGATAGGTGCACCTTGTTTTTGGACACGGAATTCGGTGGTCCTACACCTGCACCGGCAGTTATGCTCGAACAGCCTCCACCTCGAATGATTGACTTCAAGCTTACAACGTCGCCTTCTCAGTCCCTTATGCATGAGAACTCCTGCTTACATGTTGGATATGCTGAGAGTCTCGATGGCCGATGGATTACAGCTGCATGGACCGACAACCGTGGACAACGACAAGCGACAACGTCCTATTCAATCACTCGGAGCAGAACGCCGGATCGTTCCGTCTCGCAACACAAGGCGGCTATCATAGCCGAGATCTGGGCGACTACGTTGACCATGATATCAATCTGGAAAGTTCATTGGCGAGTGATCATCACCAAGTCTGGAGTAATGGACCAGAGAGAGGTGGAGTGGTGGCAAGCAGCCTCAACGCTGGACGACAAACATTCATTCACCATGATTATCATGTCCGTCGATACCAATCCATCTCTGCAGCTGGTCCCGCCGATCGTGAAGATTCCTCATGCGGCAACCTCGGCGTTCTACTCGACACCAGTATCCACGCCGCAGGCTAATATTGTTTCGCCGGAGCAAACCACGACGCCGGCAACGCCTATGCGTGATGCTAGCACATTAGCTGCTACACCGACTGCCGAGGGTGCTGCAGAAGCAGAGGCCGATTCCTTCCTGATTGATGCCACTGACCAGACATGGGGTGCCATCGTCGGACATCGACTCTGTAACTCGACTACGTTGCTGGAAGTGAGACCGGCACTTGCCAGTGGGTATTTGATTAAAAGAACGGGAACAAAGCTTGAAGACCCCCCCGTCGTGATGGAGGTCAATCTTGTTCACACAGAGGCTACGCCTAGGGCGTACGAGCCTCTTCTAAGAGAAATGTTGTGCTATTTTAGGGGTCTCGGAACCCTAGCCAGAGCACGAGGTGTTGTAGATCGCGAGATGGATGTTCGACCTTGGCATATTGCAGCGGCAGAGAAGGGCGTGCGGGCGCTGCATCTACTATTATGATGACACAGGCATTGGGAGGCGTCGTTATTGGTAGCTGGCGTGTAGATTGTTGGTGTATGGCGTTTTTGCTTTGTGGTGCATACTTACGATTGAATAAGCTGTTGATGATTCAAATACATACCGGTCTTCTGTTGCCGCCCTCAAGCTCACCTCTCGATTTATTGGGATGATCATCTAGTAGGGTGTTGATACTAACGATGGTCAAGTAGCCAAGCGGACATAAGTAAATTAAGAACAAAACGCTATATGTTCAACTCTCTAGCAATAACCGCGGATGTAAAACAAAGATCGGAAAACAATAAAAAAACACCAGCATATTATTAAAGCTATGTGTTTTTAGCTTTTAGTGCTCAAGGAATTCCTTGGACTGGGTATCTTACGAGCAAGCCATTGTTATTGAGGGACTTCAAACCAATCTCTCTCGTCCGACCCGTCTTGACCCTTTCGACGCCAAAGCTGCCTCTCGACGTCCCATTCCCAGAAGCGATGACCTGGGTGCGTGGCGAAATCATCGTTCTGAGACTCATGGGTAGTGATCTGGTCTTCTACCCATTCAGGGGTACTCGGATGGGTATCTGCGGAGGCTGTGTCCACCAGAGACCAGCCACGGAGTTGGAAACTGTGAGAATGAACTTGAGATGCTTCAGTTGACAACTCCCAGGCAATATTTTCACTGGGGTCAGCCAGACTATCAGTATCTGAAGGCTGCAGCGAGGAAGTCCTCTCTCTGTGCAATCTGTCGTTGGCCGGCATGATCCATTTCCCATCTAAATCAGACGTGTTGGAGGACACATCAAAAGATCCGCACATGGAATCAGTGCTAACTCTCGATAGTCTTTTGCGTTGTTCTGGCTCTGAAGCTACGGTTTTGTGGAGGGGGAGGGGGTGTTGGGCTCTTGCGCGGCAGCGAGCCAATAGCTGCTGGAGAGTTTCTTGAGATTGTTGATTCTTGGGGACTATGCCTTGGCTCTTGAAGTCTTCCCAGGTGTTGAATTGGAAGGGCAGAGTTTCCTCTAGAGAAGAGGTAGTTGACCCTTGCTCTTCTGGTATAGATCCTTGAGAATGTGCTGGGGGAGTGAGGTGGACACTCTGGTACAGTTCCTCGGGGTTATCACCAAGCACGAGGTCTTGCTCTAACCCAGGAATGACATGAACCTGGCTCGTCTCCAAGTCCTGTTCAGAGCCAGATAGAGCCCAGGAGATTTCTACCACAGAGGGGAGCCCGGAAGTGTGCTTCTCGCTTGCCCCCAAAAGCTTCTCTGCTATATTCTTAGAGACGAGGCCGTAGGCTCTGCCGTAGAGTATGGCGCTGATTTGCAGAGGGCTCTGGAACTTGTTTCTTCGTTTGGAGAGGTTGGAATCGTTGGCAGAAACTGACCAGCAGTTAATGATCACTAGTTGAGTAAAAACATCTGACATGTCTTCGACTTGGCGGGTGGGAGAGTATATTCAGGGTCCTTTTCTGAAACGAGTGAGCAGCCCCAGAGGGGATATGAGGATGGAAGAGGCCCAAGACTTGTAAGAAGATATCGAGTGAGGCTCCAATGTCAGACACATCACGGCAGTCAGCGGGGACCGAGGTTAGCAAAGGGAGTTGAATGAACCTTTTAACATTTGTGAAAATAGAATGAAATTATGGTCAATGACCAGTTCTAGCCAAGCCCAGTATACTAACGCCCGACGACATAATGAAGGATGCATAACGTGAAGCAGTTTGGATCAGCATTGTTGTCTTGGGAACAAATCAGGCTGAGAGGGAGTGTGGAATGGGGGATTTCCGATTGAGAAAGCCACGTAGTCACCCACCTGTGAGTTGTCACATTCACCGATATCACATTGCATAAGTCACATCAGACTGCGGAGCTAATGCATGAACCGAATTGTGAAATACAAAGTGAGGTTCTCGGGGAGTCGAGTCTGGACTTTCATATGGGCTCGAGACGTCACTAGTGATATAACCCCCATAATCTCTCAGCTTCAAGTTACAATTCCCTAAATAGGGACCACCCTTACAGTTGTCTTGACCTATCGAACCCTTGTACATTACCGTGTCTGCCCTGCTGCTGCTATCCCGACTTTGCCATTGCTCAAGTAATGCTTTACTTGGCCAGCCTCGGCCAACCACGGCTCGATATCGCTCACTGAACCAGTTGACTGCATGATAGCATGGCCAGCATAATTCCTTGATTCTGCAGCCAGGGTGGGTTGAAAGAGAATGCAGCTTCTTATAGGTGAACATGGCCCTCCTGGCTAAGGGATATCACAACTGTGCAGTGGCTCATCTGGCTGAGGGAGTGTTGTCTTTGTGGTTTTCTATGCCACGTATCGGCCATGTAAATTCCCATCGTGGTACCGCCCATCCATGTTTTTGTCGGTACTTATGAGGCTCAAATGATCTTGGGTCTTGGGCATGATAAGATCAGGGATTGGGGCCCTAATGTGAGGCCCGAATAGTCTACTCTGCTGCTTCTTTTTCTTCTTTTTTCTCACCAGCGATTTCTTCGGGTCCTAGCGGTGACTTGAGTCTTCTCCTTCTTCCTCCATTGGCTTGACCTTTCTCTAGGTGTTGTCGAAATTCCGACTTAGCTGGCATACTTAAACAGCATTACGGCCAAGACAGGTACCGATGCTGCCATGCTGGTGCGATCACATTATCCCAGGAAGAAATCATTGAGAAAAGGTTTAAGGAGTCTCCTGCGTGGACCTCTGGAGAAACGTGTGAAGCCTTCGCGGACCGAACTCGAGAAGGCAGAGAAGGAGAAGAAGAAAAAGGAGAAAAAGAAGGGAAAGACACGTCCCCGAGGATCAGAATCATCGTCATCGTCAACGGCATCGGCAGCAAATCCTTCGATACCCTCCGAAGTAGAAAGACTCACAGGCCTCGCCCCAGAAACATATCTGTTACCAGAAGCACTGAGCCCTCTTTTAGAGAGCAACGTCGAGACCCCAGGAGATCAGAAGCAGGCATTTATTGCTACAAAAGACAGTAACATCGGCGCGTCCAACATCACAGCCGTCGACCCTCGGGGTCAATCTCAGACACGGCCCCATTATCCTTTGGAATACAACACTCTCTTTAACTCAGCTCCCTATTCTGAGCCATATTCTTTACCAATATCAGAGCAGGACATCCAGTATACTGCTCCCAGTTTTATCTCCACTATAACCCAAGCATCGGACTTGGAGTTTGATATCAATGACAGCATTCCTCTGCCAGAGTCAACTCAATCCTGGACTCAATTTGGGTTAGTCATTTAATATCTCTTGCGTCCTTCCAACTTGACTAATATACTTTCTAGTGCTCCCTCTATTCATAACCCTCTAGTGCCAGACTACACCCAAGACTTTGGTAGCCACTCCGGCCTTACTTGGCCTTCAGACATGGGACAAGACGTGCAGCATGAACTACCGCCACCTGCCCTCGATATCTCCTCCTCTTCTTCTGCTGGTCAGGATTTGAGTCTGGTCAAAGCAACATATGATGGCGGCTGTTCATCCCACCAAGTGGTCGCATACGATGACGGTTTGGACCACAGCTTCATAGCCCAAAGTTCTCTTGAAATGCTCCAACATTCGTTTCCTATACAAGTTTTAAGTCGTCCACCAGGAACCAGCGAAAAGACGAAATGTCCCAGTGGTGCGTTTATCGATATTGAACAAATCCTGTACGCCTGGGTAGAGTTCGAGTCTCATCACCTCCCATACCCTCCTATCCGACTATACTTCGTCGTATACAATGACTTTATAGGCGACGATGGTATCCATTTAACCTTGGGCCGTGATTGGGTCAGAAAAGTCGAACAGGCCTGTCTTCAGATGGGTTAATTAAACGTTTACACAAGCTCCAGTTGCTGCCCCTTGAAACAGGTGCAGCTTCTGTCAGCAGCAGCACTGGTTGAATTCTGTAATTCAACCCTTTTGATAGAATACGTTTCAGCTGACTCGGAGTTGCCATCATGGCTCTCCGAGCTAAAATCCGTTAGTTTCTTCATATCATTGGTTTCATTCTTTATACCTGGTCCTTTCTGATTGCAGTCGAGATGTTGCATTTTTTGGCTTTGCCATGCCCAACTCAAGGCTTGTGCCTTACAGAACTTCGTGTCGAAGGATGACGACAGGGTTGTTTAGGTAGTGTGTTTTCTCTTGTACATGAAATATGTACCTACCTCAGTAGGCAAGGTAAGTATATACGGTCTTTGTATCTACGGCTTGCAGCTTCTATTGCTTATTACCGGCGAGGAATTTCTTTGGTGTTAAAGATGATTTTGGGTTGTTAATCGACGACTTGTATGGTTTGAGCCACAGACTGAAATATCACCATACATACAAATTCGCTCGTTACAAGAATAATAGGCTTGAAGTCAGTGACAGGAGAATGAGGTTGAAGCATGCTGAATATAGTACCTCAGGTACTTAGGTAAGGTAGAGAGACTGATAGGCCTGTAGGTTATAGTGGGAGTACGTACCTGCTCCCTCGACCCGCTATGACGCTCTATCTTGAACGACGTGAAACTAATATTAGGCAGGCACCACCAGTAAGCCATGGCTGACTCACTGTTAGAGTCGTATAAGTTTTTTTTTCCTCGTCCTCAGTCAAAATCCTTCATATTATAAAACTGAACTAGAACAGAATCAAGATCACCGAGTCTCTTTATATCAGTTAAAGACAAGTTCCAAAACTCGATAAACCCGAAAATTCTGCTACAGGCCAGATCAGGGCAAAACTGACTGCATCATCACTTCATAACCACCACCGCAACAAAAGCATCGGGCGAAATGAAACGATGATGAATAGAACATCTCTGGCAAGTCTTCCAGATGATATTGTTCTTGATATTGTCGAGCATCTAGACACAGCTCGTGACATAGCTCACGTTTCCGCCTTGACGAGGCATCTTCAAAGTCTCATACGCCAAGATGGTTGGCGTACCTTCGTCAAGACTCGGTTCCCCTCCCTCCAGATAGATACAAACTCAGAGACTCGCTGGAGTTCTGTTGCAGATCGTGCAACGTACTTGGACCGCTGCTGGGAGAAGCGCGGTTTCTGGGTCAATGTGTTGCATGAAAAGAAGAACCAGCCAGAAAGATTCCAGCGTCGAGTTGCTGGAAGCCAGTCAGTGCTGTTCCATTCTGTTCTTGATGCGCGGCTTATGTCTTCGCTGAACAATGAGGTTATTGCTGCCGGCGTGGGTGAGAATCTCATGGTTTGCATAAAACCTGTTGATGGGCAGCAAGATACCTGGCATCAGATCGGGGGCCATGATCTCGGATATCGGGCTGGCACTGGAGATGTCACAGCAACCTCTGTCACAGAAATTGACGGGATACCAAATATTGTTGCCGGGAGGGCCAATGGAGATATCAGCATACACTCTGGCCAGGACAAGTTTGCAACAGTCGCAAAACACTTGAACCCACCGGACGAGGCACTTCTGAGCCATGCTTTCGATCCTATGAGGAAATCCCCTGGTCAAGTGGCAGTCTCATCTCTACAGTGGCATCCTGAGACGAATCTTCTGGCAAGCGGCAAAGGCTCGGTTTTGACCCTCTACAATCTCAATGTGTCAGATGACCAAGTACTGAGCCCTTTGGATTACCATGAATTCTCCAAAACCAGTCCCGCAGATGAGGCATCTCTCCTACGCAGCACCAAGTTCATGGGCAAAGATATCATGGCTTGCGCCTTGGGCGGAACTCGAAATCCTCTGCGTTGGGGGCAGCTCACACCAGACGGCTTGCAATTATTCAACGCTCATAGTAACTCTATGTACGTAGACGATGCTTCGAGGCTGGTAAGTGGGGGAGTCAGTGAGAAGACCACAATTCGAGCAATCGAGCCAGTTAGAGGCGGGAGTGAAAATCTTCTTTTGAGTGCGTGGGACGATGGCACATATAGGCAAGTTTATCTCACAAAACTTATGGTCAGCTATTAACCTCTCATTCAGACTTGTAGATATCCGAACACCTTCACCACAAGACGCAGTATACCGTGATCGCTTTCAACCCTACCAAGCAGGTAGTTCTCTCCTTGTGTATGGTACAGAGCGTTTCGTATCCGGCAGTAACACAGCACCGGATATCCGTCTGTTCGACTTCAGATACCCAAAGCCATATCATCACACAACAGCTCTTCCATGCTCGCCACAATGGCCCTTTCCCAGCCAGAAGGATGATCACATTATGAAGCAAGGATGGGCGCCAGAGCATCAGCCACAGAAATGCGATCCTCCAAACGGGGTGTTGTGTTACTGGCATGGAGCTTCCAGACGAAACTACTGGCGTCCCGACGCTACCATTCATATTGGCAGTCCCACATATGACAGGATCTATTGTCTGGCCAAGGCGTCTGATCTTTCAGATACTATATACTGTGGCGTTCGTGGTGCCATTCTCGAGATGAATCTCCATCTCACGGAGGACATGGTGCATAACCATAACCAACGAACTACTCCTACAGATTGGAGTATGGGAAGACCCGGAGGCAGAATCTCGCTGATCGAGACAGGCGTGAGCCTCACCCAGACGAAGGAATGGTCGCTTGATAACCGCGGTGTTCCAGAGCTCGTGGTTCAGCAGCCTCGGCCTCGTAAACGGATAGAATTATCAGATGAGGAAAAGAGATACCGTTTGGACTATGCGTTTCATAGATCATAGGAGTTTCGAAGACGCGGGTGCATAGAATTAGAGAGAGCATACTCATTCATAGACGAAGGCACAGTTTATAAAAAACGCTTGCAATTCTTTCTTCAATAGACATAAACGGCACATCTTCGTACAAGTTCTAAACAAGATCTCGCAAGTCTAGTATCTTCTAGCTTAGTTCTATAACTTTGACTCGGGCACCAGAAGCGCGAGTCTCTCTTTCAACGCCGTCTCCGCCTCCTTCTCAATTCTGTGAACAAGGACGTCGCATGTAGGGATATCATGAATCAGGCCAATGACCTGGCCAGTTGTCCAAACCTGCGAACTATGTTAGTCATTGCATCCTCAACTCAACTCAGCTCAGCTCAACTCGATGTATAAACTTACGCCGTATTCAGTATCGCCATTCACAAATACCTCCTTTCCTCGCTTGCCGCTCACAAACGGCGCAATCTCGGCAAACTCGCCCTTCTCGCTCTTGGTCTCGACCTCAAGAGCCTCCAGGGCAACCTTGTTCTTGAAGAGTCGGGTGGTGTTTCTCCACCTGCGCATGAGGAGGGTTGTGTCGGTCTCGTCCGCGCGCACAATCTCCTCCTTGACCTTGTGGTGCACTGGAGCCTCGACCGTGCACATGAATCGCGTTCCCATGTTGACTCCAGAAGCGCCGAGGCACAGCGCGGCGGCGAGTCCGTAACCATCCGCGAAGCCACCGCTGGCGATGAAGGGAACACCGAGAGTTTGACGGGCCTTGCTGAGCAGGATAAAGTTTGTAATATCGCTCTCGCCAACGTGTCCACCGCACTCAAAACCGTCGATACTGAGGAAGTCGACGCCAAGCTTGACGGCGCTCTGAGCATGGCGAATCGTGGTGCACTTATGGAGAACAATGATGCCGGCCTTCTTCAACTGCGAAATAACAGGCCCGGGAGAGTTTCCTGCCGTCTCGACGACCTTGATTCCCTCGTCGATGATAGCCTGAGCGTATGCGGCGTAGTTCGGGGGCACCATGGCGGGAAGGAGGGTGATATTGACGCCGAAGGGGTTCTTGGTGAGGGTGCGGCAGCGTTGGATCTCCTTGCGCAGTTCCTCAGGCGTGGGGAAGATGAGGGCGGTGATGATACCCAGGCCGCCGGCATTGGAGACGGCTGAGGCGAGGTCGGCGGTGCCTACGTGCATCATGCCGCCCTGGACGACGGGCACTGGAGACGGTCAGTACGAGAGTCGAGGCTATGGGATTGGGTGTACAAACCTCTAATGCCGAGTCGCTTGGTGAGTTCTGTCGCAAAAGGCATGGTCGCTGATGGCTGATGGTTGATGGGGTTCAGTGGTGAAGAAACGTCGAGAGATGAAGTGAAAGAAGAGGAAAGAAGAGAATAGTAGGAGAGATTCTACGTCTATGATATGTTATCAAGCTCACATAAGAAACAAGTCAAAAGAAAATGGCCCGAGGCTTCGTACGTGACCATTCTCGGTCGGTTTGTCCCTTAAAAGGTGCCGAGGTATGATGCACGTCGGTCTCCACTAATTTCCCCACACTCTTAGCTCCAAGGAGTCGGCTCGGCCCCTCAATTTTTCTTCGAGTCCGTTCCGTTCGCATGTGGATGTGGATCTTTCATTCAACTCATGGATCTCGCATCTAATAAATCTGAATTTTGCGGGGAATAGTCAATCCAATCCAATCCAACCGTTGCAGACTAATTAATTAATCTTGGAGAAACTCAACATCTAAACAGGATCCCCAGGTTTTAGTCTCGTGATAAAGCGAGCATGAATCTCATGGTCTTGTCTTCTCTCAAGCTTTGCTTCAAGACGAATGGTCTCTACAAAATTCACATAATAAAAAAAAGACTCTCTCTTATAATCACTACTGTAGCTGGCATTGAAGCCACTAGACCCTCCTCTGCCCTTCATATCAAACGCCAACTTCATCAAAATATGCCTTTCCAATCAATTCACACAACAAGTCATCCATCAAACGCCGTATGTATACAATAACCCATTATCCTGGACCTTCATGATTCCCCTTGTTTTCCCAGCCAGAACCAGCATCTTTCAATAGATGGCGTGTTACCTAACATCTTGCCTGTGGTCCATATTCCCTCACACCAGACTCCAGAAATCACCAAGATTATCGTTTCCTTCAGTACCGCTGCTGGTCGTCATACTATCCTGCTGACTTCCCCTTCCAGTCGATACCCCTTCAGTTGATGTTTGGCTCCAGCAACCGGACCGGCGGACTTCTGTCTCTCGGCTTCTCGATCAGATCAGCGTATGCATCAAGACTCTGGCCCATAACCTTGACAATCTCAAAGATATGTGTTCCCTTGAAAGTCTCTGCCCAAAGTCGCACAACTGCAACAGCGAGTTGTCGCAACTTAGCGCTGTCGCTTGATGGCACCTCGTGCTGCCCCGAAAGAGATGGATCGATTGGCGGAACCGCAAATTCGGTCTCATCAAGCATCCGTCCAACCATATCCAATAGGTTCTTCTCTTCCGGTGAAGCGGGAGCCTCGTGCGGCCCTATCGCCGCAATCGTGAGTAGCCACTTGGATACTAAAATGGCACACTCAAAATTACATACTATAACAATGGGTTAGAAATCATGTCAAGACATCTTTAAGGGGCCACAAGCATGCAATGAATGACTTACGCGAATGCTGAATGCTCCATTCGGTCGACTTGGTTCTGGCTACATAGTTGACGCCAGCCTTAACCAGCATCGACAGGGCGTGGAATGCCTGGAACACTGCCCGGTGCAGTCTTAGACTCCGTACTAGCAAGGGGGTCCTGCTCAGCGCCGACGCCACCAAAAGCGGATCCCGGGTCTCGAGCGCGGTTGACGGCGTGACATCGGTATAGAGTCGGATGTAGGCTTGTCGCAGTAGCGCTGTGGCCGTGTAATCCAATGTCCCTCCCACATTCGAGTCCATTGCGTTGTAATGTCCCGCTTCCGCTGCCCTGAGCTGATGCTGATCTTCAAAACTCGTCTGCCATACACGCAGTGCTTGCGTAACCTCCTCGACGTCTTCGGGTTTCATGGTTCGGTGAATGTTGTATGGCAGCCCAGCTGCGAAAGACGTCTGCTTCAACAGATAGATATGCTGGATGAGAGCGTGGATGAGAACATAGCTTCCCAGTGACGACAGATGTTGGGGGAGTCCTTGATTTGTTCTGCCAAAAAGTCGCGAGAAGGCGTCATGTAGGGTGAGTTCGATCATTGGCGTCGACTGTCGCATTTCCTGCCATTGCCAGGCTGTCTCAGCCCTCCAAAGCTTACCTCTTTGAGGAAGCAAGAGGTTCAACTCGGATGTCAACAACAATGGCGGCATGTTATAGGCAATACTGCAAAGATTAAAAAAGCAATAAGCAACAAGCTTCGTCCTGGTTGCTGTCTCCAGTCGAATCCAGGTTTCCCAATCATTAACAGCACTCTGGTTGACTTCCGCCACAAGGCCTTCTTCTCGAATGAGAATTGCCAAATTGCTCTGCAGTGACAACGCTTCATGAAGGATAGTTGGCACGCCCCAAAGACCGACGGCGAATAGAAGTAGAACTGCTTGGATGGTTTCAATCCGAGCCTGGGGAGTATTTGGAGAACTAAACACAGTTAAAATTGAGCTTCATATGAACCAGAATGAGACTTACTATGGCTCTCGATGAGTATCTTGTGTTGTAGGTCGCTCTGACTGTGCAGATGCAAACGAGTGGCGATATGTCGCACTTGGCGACGGCCTCGTGGAATGAGGACTGTAAGCGGAAGCAGTTGGTAATAAAGCGTGAACCTCCGAAATGCGCCTTCTTCGAATCTGCTCCATCGCGACAGCCTTGGCAGCATACCAAAGGGCATAGCCTCTGTTCTTCTCAAAGCGGTATTGGGCACCCACGGCAAGGATAGCAAGCAACAACTCGGGAGCGGCCTCGGCAGGTGAAAATGTTGCAAGATGAAGGAAAGGCAGATGCTCGTGGAGTCCGCTGATATATCCTTCCAAGAATCTGGTCAATGTGTGCCTGGACGGGAACACAAAGTCATTGGGTAGAACAGCGGAGAACTCATCCAGTCTGTTCTTAATCACAGTGTGGTCAGATACTGAGATACGAAGGGCTGACTGTCGTGCTACTTCGTCGATACCCCGAGCGGCAGGGTCTGCAGGATCTCGTGCCTCAGTTTGCATCGGAGGGAAGCGACCTGGCACAAAGGAGGATTTGGATGATCTTCTTCCCGAAGGTCCTCCTTGGCTCCGAGAGTACATCATCTGCTGTTCAATTTCAAAATTCGGAGGTAAGAAATGTGACGAAGAGGTCAGCTCGTCAAGGAAAGGGTTATAATCATCGTAGGAGCCAGTAGGGAGCTGTTGAGGCACATATCCGGATCCTAGAGGCTGATCTTCCCGGGGTCGCTCCGTTGTATATGCGACGATGGATTCTCCATAGCTACTCTTTCTTCGGGAATCTGGTGAATGTGGTGGAAGAGGCGCCGCATTGACATTTCTCTGGACAGGTGTCACTGAGCTCGCCAGGGCTGCATCAGAGAGGAGGTCAAGATTGCAAGCTGCAGTTCGGGGCTGAGTCCGGGGATCCTGAGGGCCTTGTTGGGTATTTGGTGGAGGACCATGGTGAAACTGTTGTGGCTGTGGGAGTGGTTGTTGTGGTGGCGGAGGTCGCGATACATTTAAATGTTGCTGTCCAAGAGCCTCATTGCTTATCTGACCCTCAGAGATGGAACTCTTATGTGAAGCTGAGGATGTATTGGATGACAGCTTCCTGGGCCGGTTGTTGTCCTTGCTACCTTCATTTAAATGCACGAGCTTCTCGTGTCTCACAAGGAGGTCCCTAATATCCATGTAAGCATGTGTATTTGACGACAAAGCTGGAGTGACAGGAGAACCCCTAACTGGGATGACACATTAAAGGAAAGACAGGAAGAGGACGAGCGGAGATGACAAGATTTGTAAAATGTGTGAAGAGTGAGTGGTGAGTACTGTATATGAGTGCCAGGTGGGACGGCCTGAGAGATGGGGTATATAGCGTAACTAGAGTAAACGTACCTTCGTCCGAATGTCTTTCCGCAGCGATCCCAACCACATGAGAATGGCTTCTCCTTGGTATGGGTGCGCTCATGGCGTTGAACATGTTCGACACGTCTACACATTAGAAGATTTTATCAGTATCCTACTCAGACTCTTGTTCAACAACAGATGACGAACCTGAACCGTTTGCTACAGTACTTGCAGGGTAGAGTCTTGGGCTTTGGTTGGCGAACTTCTGTAGGCTCTGGCCCGACGAGGGGAGGAGGAGGACCAGGAAGTGGACGAGGAGGGCCCTCCATAGACTGAATGGCAAGCATTGTGAACGTGAACGCTCAAAGAGCAAGTCCTTGATTCAGTTTCAAGTCTGATGCCTATTATCAAAGTGTGGGGATGGGAGAAGTAGAGTAGAGAGACAGAGCAGATAGATAGCTGATAGACGGAGATGGAGAGAAAGATTAGGATTTGGACCTGGATTTGGAGCTGGGGAAAGATAGATGCAGGCAGATTGCGGGGTGCGTTAAGGGTAGAGCATGGCATGTGGAGGAGGAGAAAATAGACGGTGGCCCGTGGACTGCTACTGTAAGAAGGAGGGTTGCTTTTTGGTTTGCCTTCCGCGGGAGAGACGGGGTGGATGAGAAGATGGGGGGATGG